AAAAAAAAAAAAAAAAGAAAAGAAAGAAAAGAATTTGAGAAGATTACTTTTCACCAGAGAAACTTCTATGAAAATGTACCATCACTAGGCAGGTGTCCTGCTTGACTGTTGTGGGACTTAGGTGAGTTGAGTATAAACATCTACGACCAGCCTACTTCTCCTGCTTGCCCCAGGAATCTGAATAACAGAGTGGAGCTTGGTTCTTGATCCAAACTGCACGATAGACTCTCCAGAAAGATTGTAAGATACCTATTCTTAGACCTCACTCCAGAGCAATTAATTAAGAACTTTTGAGGGGTAATACTCGAGTACTGCTAACTTTTGAGGGGGGGGGTTACCGGGGCTCGAACTCGGGACCTTGCGCTTTCCAGGCAGGCAGTGGAACCACTGAGCTAAATCCCCAGCCCAACACTGCTAACTTTTTTCGAGGACTCTAGATAATCACTAGGTTATGAACCAGAGTGAAAAATATTGATGAGAAGCTTGATGGTCCATTCTCCTGAGTTTGGGGTGAATTTAAAATCTCCTTTCCTGCCACTCCTGGGGGTAGCATAGAGGAAAATGGCATGCCTTATGTTAAGTAGGCTAAGGTTTGAATTTTTGCTTTGCCTTTTACTGGCTGTGTGATGTTGGCTAAGTTGCCAAAGATCCCTGACATTCTATTTAGAGGTGAAATAATAGAACCTATCAGTGAAACTCAGTGAGATACCATCTCTAAAGCAACGTATAAAGCAACCTCATAAGCATCAGCTCCCTCCCCTTTCTGCACCCCACCATACCTCAACATTGGATGATAAGTGCTGTGGACAGTTCTGGCTGGGCCCTGAGCTACTTCTCCTTGACTGATGTGGCCACAGTATGAGCCTAGATTTATAGTCTGGTTCCTGGATCCACCATTCTGAATCCAGCTTCTGAATTTGATCTGGCTCTTCTTTTCATTGTTTTTTTTTTTGTACCGGGGATTAAACTCAGGACCTTGTGCTTGCGAGCCAGGTGGCAGAACCACTGAGCTAAATCCCCAGTGGGCTCTTCTTTTCAGACCTGGTTTCTATCACCTGTTTCTGCTGTGCAGTGCTAAGCCCCAAAGGGATGATTTCTAAAAGTAGCTGGTCCCAGTGCTGCTGCAGCTCCAGCTGAGTTTTAGCACAGGGAGGAAGTGTGGCTAATTTTAGATTTGTCCTGGTCTCACATCTGAGACAAAGCAAGGCCAGACAAGTCTCTCCTGCCCCTCAGTGATTTTGGGGTTGGAGTTTGAAGAGTTGGGGAGATTTTGTCATAGGGCTTGTGCATCTACATCATGCTAGGCACCTTGCATGGAAATTTAATGCATGAAACCATTTGCCTCAAAATCTACTTGGATTTGAGCCTTTGATGTTCTGTTGAGTGGGAGTAACCACAATATAACCCAGAGTTTTTGATATGTTAATGCTTGTACTGAATTGGATGCAATGTTTTCTGCCTTCCCCAAGGGCCGTGGCCAGGCAGATGTGAACAGAACTCTGTCCAGAGATGCAGAAGGAAAAGCACTGACAAGAAAAAAGATAGGAAAGGTTATTGATTTACTTGTGTTAAGAGAAACAAAAAACAAAAACAAAGACTGAAAGCCTCCCTGAGAGAAGCAGGGATGGCACCGAAGCTCACAGAACAGTCCTGGTACAGAGGGGTGTTCAATGATGGTTTGCTGAATAAGTGAAATGAGAGGTTTCTAAGGTGAGGAAGAAGAGATGCTGTGGGGCTTCCCAAGGAGCATCTTGGGCTTTGGAAGGAAAGGACACCAGCTTAGAGCAAAATGGGTATCAAAGGGCTATCCGGAGGGCCTGCAGCATCAGCTGGGATTTGTGTCCTCTGTGTCAAGGGAAAACAGGAAAGAAATTAGGTCTTGATCAGGCCCATAGAGTGAGGATACCTAACAAGGAAGAATGGTTGAGCTGTCCTAGGATTAAGAGATAAATAAGACAAAGAGGAATAGTGAAAAAAGTACATGCTTTGGTGTGAACCAAGCTAGTTTCTCCATTCCTCCATGTAAAGCTGTTTGATCATATGCAAATTACTCAACAACTCTGAATCACGGTTTCCTTGTATTTGAAGTCAACATTCATTAACAATTTATTAACCATCTACTTTATATACTTTATATACTAGATACTACAGTGAAAAATACAGACCAGTTTCTCATCATCCAACAATCTTCTAAGAAAAACAGAGAGGAGAAAAAAGTCACAAATAAGTGACAAGGTAAATGTGGGTGGTGCTAAGTGCTGAGAAGGAAGGAAGCA